ATAATTCTTGAGTTATTCCTCTTCATGTTGTCCAACATGAATCTTAGGCCTTCTTCAGATTTTTAAATTCTTTTTGTTTTTGCTCTTCTATCTTAGTAGTGTTGAGAGATTTATCTTCTAGCTCGCTAGTTCTGGCTTCTATCTCTTCAATTCTACTCCTTAGCTTTTTCAGTGTCTTGTCCATTTCTGATATTTTATTATTAATCGTTTGGACCTCTTTCTGTAGATTTTTTAATTGTTTCCATTGCTGTATCTATTTATGTGATTGTTTCTGTAGCGCTTTCTTGACTTCTTCCTTATTTTTCTCAACACCATTTTATCGTGTTTTGGTACATTTTATAATCATTTTTCTGAATTCCTTCTCAGGCATTTCCAAAGCCTGCCCATCTTTCAGGAGTTATCTGTGGCCTTAATACTTAGATAGGTGAGTATTATGGTATTTTTTAGGCTTTCTGATTGCCTTCAGGTAGATGTAATCAGGAGATGGGCTTCCATTTTCACTCTTCTTCCTGAGAAGTTTCAAGATATCACTGTTGGTCGCTGTGATATAACTCAGGATTTAACTTTTTGGCCTATTTCCTTTTTAGTCTGCGTGTCCCACTCTACAATCCCCGTTCAGCCTTTGTTTTTAGTTATAAACAGTTCAGGGCTGGCTGTGGTCATTTGGTTTTGAGTGGAAACTGTCACTATAAATTTCAAGGTGATCTGTGTGCATGGGTAGTAGAACCCTCCAGGGGTGGGGTGTCCACTTGCTCAGGCACCCCTTCTAGTCATCAGAATGGAGGTGCACAGACAGCCAGAGACCAATGAACAGATGCCCTAAAAAAAGAATGTCCACACCTTTATCACTGCAGTTCTCTCAGGCATCTGTGGCTGCTCTGATCCTTCCCCAGCATGGTCTCTCCCAAGATGGCAACTCCTGGGGAGCAGCTGAGCTTCTTGTGAATTAGAAAGCAATGGATTTCTTGCTTCTGCTACAAATTTCCCTAGCTGTAAGCCTTTCAACTTTCTAAATATTCCTTTATATGTGGTTCAAAGTTCTAGCACCATCCCCTGAGCCTGCTTGGTCCAGTATTCTGTGTTGTTGCTGATGGAGCTCTTGATTGCACTTTCACCTGATCTGCCATCTTGTTTTTCCCCAGCCAGTCACTTCTTGCCTTTGTAGTGTCCCCATTTTGGGTAGCCAGTGTCCAAGTTGCCCATCCTTGTATTCTCTGTGTATGGAGGGGGTGGGAATGATCCTCGCTGTAAAGATTTGGTCCCTCTTTTGAGCTATTGCATACATAGGTGTAGGTCAAGTTCATCAAATTATATCAGATTACTCTTTTTTCCCTCTTGTTTCTTCTTCTAGTTGAGTTCTGATCATCCAGCCATTGAAGCCAGGTCAAGTAGGTATTATCTGCAAGTGTGGGTATTCTGTAATAACTTTTAATTACTATAAGATTGAGTAACAAATTCAAATAAACCCCCAAATTTTCCATTTGGAGAGACCCAAACACTTCATTTGTTCCTCAAAAAGATAATCTGTGTTCAGCAGTTGTTAAAATGACAGTAAATGCATTGCAGAATGACTCTCCAGTACTGATATTTTTCATTAATTTGTGTTGCCAGTTTATGAGTTAAGTCAAAATCATGCTTCTGGTTTAAATATGACAATGTACAATATGTAAATTGACTCTTTTATGTTTAACAATCATATTCAAGTTTTGTCAGTCACTGAATCCATTTGTAGTAAATCAAAAATGAAATCATTGAGAGCTGAATAGTGTGCAAACCAAGCAATACACAGAGCTGACTGGTGGAGAGCACAGTAGCCACTCCCTCTTACAATGCCGTCCGTTATCTCTGTGCCCCTGGGTTTATTGATACTCTAGAAGGACTACTGGATTTAGAAGTTGTGAACACTCATGGGCAGGGTTCATTACAGCAAAAGGATACAAAACAAAAGCCACATCAGTCACATGGTGTAACATCCAGAAGAAAGCAGGCTCAAATTTCCTCACACGTATTTCCTTTAGTAATGAACTAAAACAGCACATGAAATGTTGTCTACCAGGGACACTCATTAAAGATTCAGCCTGATTGTCACATAGGCACCCTCTGCCTAGCACATAACAAAATTCCAGACTTCAAGAAGGAAAGAAGGTATTCAGCATAAACCATGCTGTTTGCACGAAGTTTAGGCCCAGTGAGCCACTTAATCATTTGGGAGATTTATATCATTGTTGTTATGTGCCTTCCAGTCGGTTCTGACTCATAGCGACCCTGTATAGAATTTCCCAGGAGCAGGTGCTGTATTTGAACTGTCAGCCTTATAGTTTTGTAGTCCAGTGCTGAACTACAGCATTTATCATCCAAGTTCTTGCATACCAGTTAAGAGCCGACCTTACAAGTAGATTTTCTAAAGATAAGGGTCGGCCATTCAAGCCCACCAGCTGCTACACAGAAGAAAAATGAGGCTTTGTACCTCTGCAAAGATTTACAGCATTGGAAAACCTATACAGGGTTATTGTAAGGAGGAACCAACTCGATGGCACTTAGCAACAAAAAGAAGGTTGATAGATTTTCTCAAAGAACATAGCTCAATCACAGGAGCTTGTTATGACAGAATGTTAAGAAAATTGAAAACTGCTTTGGCAAGAAAAAGGCCTGGAAAATTGTGCGAAGAATTTTTTTCCATTACAACAATGCACCTGCTTGTTCTTTGAGGGTAGCAAAGACTGTCCTTCGGGACACCTTACTCCATTCCACCCTATATCTCTGATTTTGCCCCCATCAGACTTTTTATTCACAAAACTCAAAAAGCATTTAAAAGGAACCTGGTTTGAGTCCCTTAAGGATGTTAAAATGGCTGTTTTGATGTTTTATCGATTTTAAAGAGTGCAGCACCCTTCAGTCAAGGGTTAGAGACGGAGACATTGCCTCTAGAAGTAGACAGACCTAATGAATGTTTCAAGAAACAATAGCTTTGCATATTGGTGTTTCTGCTTAATAAAAGTAGCTATTATTTAAGGAGCTCTGATAACGTAGTGGTTACAAATCAGGCTGCGAACCACAAGGTCAGCAATTCGAAACTACCAGCTGCTCCACGGGAGAAAGATGAGGCTTTCTGCTCCCGTAAAGATTTACAGCCTCGGAAACCCTGTTCAGGGTCACTATGGGTCAGAACCGACCTAACGGCACTTAACAACAACAACAATTTGTGGGAGTCTTGGTGTGGCACTATAGGATAAGCACTGCAAGGTCAGAGGTTCAAACCCCTTAGCCACTCCCCAGAAGTCCTATACAGGGTTACTGTGAGTTGGAACTGACTTGAGGCACTTAACAAAATTACGACAGTATTTTGTAGCAATGGTTTTTATTTGCCATTACCTATTTTTTTATTCTTTCTCAATGTTGCTGATTTTATCATTTCTCTTGCACCTCCTTCATTGCGGATCTTCTGTGTTTCCTTTGGGTATCATTTCTCACCTATCACGTCACACTTCTTTCAGTGGTCCTGATGCCATTCTGTCTGTATTTGTGGCTGCATCTAGTTAAAGAGGGAAGTGGGTGTGTGCTTTTGCCATCCTACCTGGCACTGGAACCCTTGCCTTGATTTTTAAATTTCTGCGTTAAAAGTGTTACCAGTTCCTAACTTCCAAAATGATTTCCTTAAAGAATTGCAGAAATGGCAGTGCCCTGACTATTATGAGAACAACGTCCACAAGATGCAGCTACCCTTTTCCAGCAAGCTCCTGGGCAGCACTCTGACCTCTGAGGAGAAGCAGGAGAGGCGGCAGCAGCAACTCCGGCGACTGCAGGAGCTCAACGCCCGCCGGCGGGAGGAGAAGCTGCAGCTCGACCAGGAGCGGCTGGACAGGCTGCTCTACGTGCAAGTAAGAGCAGATGCCAGTGGGCCACCTCAGTGTTTTCGTCTGTGTCTCATCCCTGGTGTCAGGAAGGAGTCCAGAGCGTCAGCAATGTCAGGATTGCTAAAGTACTGCAGAGTAGCAGGTGTTTCTGAAAGAGCTCCGTACTTTGGCGTTATTTATGTTTTTAAATTTTTTAATGTGTGTAAGGATGGCACATGTAATGCACAGGTCACAAATCTTAAGCATATCCAGGTCTGTGAAGGTTGACAAAGTGGCTAGAGCCATGTATCTGCCGACCAGATGAAGAAACAGAAGGTTGCCAGTACCTCAGCAGCCTCCCACCTGTCCCCACCCCAAAGGCAACATTGCTGACATCCATCACCATAGATGAGTTGTGTCTAAACAGGTGGTAGTCTTTTTTGTTTTTCAGTTACGGGTTTTATTAGGGACGTCTTGGAGCTCTCGTCTGCCCTGGCGCTTCTGTCTGGCTTTGAAGCCACTTTTCATTCCCTCCTCTGTGTGGTTGCACTCTTTACCTTTGAGGTGACTTATGACTGCTCTGGTTCCAGGAACTTCTAGAGGATGGCCAGATGGATCAGTTTCACAAAGCCCTGATGGAGCTGAACATGGATTCACCAGAGGAGCTGCAGTCCTACATCCAAAAGCTCAGTTCAGCAGTGGAGCAAGCTAAGCAGAAAATCCTTCAGGCAGAAGTCAGCTTTGTGGTGGATGTGGTAGACAGCAAGCCAGAGGTAAGACAGGGCCCTTCCTTGGATTCCACAGGCCATTCAGAGAAAACAGCCTCTCCCGAGGGGTTGGAGGAGAGTCCTGAGAAGGCGAATGTACCAGAGTTATGACCAGACTTGGGGAGAGAGCAGTGATGCCTGAGGTTGCAGGGACATCAGCGGTGCTAACTTTGTGCCAGCTGACACTGACAGGAAGAATTTCACCCTGTAGTCCTCTGGCCGGACACTGGGGAGGGAAGTGTGCTTATGGACTGCTCATGTGGCTGGGTCTTGAACCTGAGCCTGCTTCTCTGGCAGCTGTTTGGCAATTGCTCACATACTCCCATTCGCTCTTTTTTGATATTTCCTAAATTTATTGTGGTTGGTCTTTCACTTAACTTCCTTTCCATCTTGATATTCCTTGAAGATAGGAATTGTGCTTTATACATAGCGTCTGAATTGTTTTACGACAACTAGTTGTTGTTAGTTGTGGTCTGGAGAATGAAACCTTGCCCGATCCTGACCCTCTTCGTGAGCTCAAGCTCATTGTGGCTGCTGTGTATTTTGAGTGCCTTCCAACCTAGGGGCTTTCTTTTCCAGCACTGTATCGGACACTATTGTGAGGGATCTGCAGACTTTTCATTGGCTAATTAAAAAAATAAAAGATGGCCAGCTAGACCTTTCTTCCTAGTCTGGGAGCTCCACTGAAATCTGTCCACCATGCGTGATCCGGCTGGTATCTGAAATATTGGTTGCATAGCTTCTTGCAACACTCCAGCTGTGTAAGTACAAAAATCCAGTAGACCCATGGTGGACAGCAGACGTCATATCTGTGTTCAGCAAAAGTTACCGAAGACGAATTCTCTTTCCTTACCTGTGGACTGTTAAGGTCAGGCAGCAGGGCTGAACTTGGGCCCAAATAATCCAACTCTGGACCCAGCGTGGGGAAGGGGCTGGCTACAGGTCACACCTCGGCCCCAGAGGCCACTGTTGGCTCTTTTTTGCCTCTAGATCTGGGAAGAAGCATTGTTGTTGTTGTTGTTAAGTGCCGTCGAGTTGGTTCCGACCCATAGCGACCCTGTACAGGGTTTCCGAGGGTGTAAATCTTTACGGGAGTAGAAAGCCTCATCTTTCTCCCGTGGAGCGGCTGGTAGTTTCGAACCGCTGACCTTAAGCATTAGTGGTGATAATTTGTCATCCATAGACAACAAGCAAAGAGGCCTGTTTATGGTCTTGTAACACTTGAGAGGGCAAGGTTAATCAATCTGGATTATTGGCTTTTTGTTTTTTAGCTCACTTTAAGTTGTTGGCTATGTCTTTGGAAAGGAACTACACTGGAAGAATCCAAGTCAGTGCCATTTGATGTCAGTGTGTTAGGGGCTCCTCGGTGATCTCCAAGCTGTCTGGGACACAGCCTAAAGCTCACTTTGGCAGTGACTACCTCGCGGCTGCATGCTCACTCTTGTAGTGCCTCCTCTCAGGCTTCCATCCTCCACCTCTTTACCGTAGAGCAGGTCCTGTGTCAGGCTTACCAGTGCAGCTTCCGGATCACTACCATCTTGGAATAACGGAACTTTACTACTGTCTTTCTCCCTGCAGCATCACTGATCAGCTTTGGTTAACCTCTGCTCCTCTTCTGTCTCCTGCTCTCCACTTTCCTGTCTGTTTACTAGTCTCGAGAACCACACTGTCTTTGTTGTTCACTCGTCCACATGCATTTTTTTTTTTATCATGTGTAACATGGCAGTGTTAGTAGGGCATCAACATCTTTATTCCAGAGATGTACCACTAAGCCACTACGAAGACAGATTTCAAGTTTGAACAAACACCTATAGAGGTGTGATCAGGAGCCATTGGGGAAGAATTTTTCCTGATTTTTTATCATTTTTTTCTGCATTTGTTAACATACTGAGATTCAGCCACTCATTCATTCACTTGTTGTTGCTGTTGTTGTTGTTGGAGTCGATTCTGACTGCACAGGGTTTCCATGGCTGTAAATCTTTACGGGAGCAGAAAGCCTCATCTTTCTCCCACAGAACAGCTGGTAGTTTCAAACTGCTGACCTTGAGGTTAGCAGCCCAATTCGTAACCACTATGCTACCAGAGCTGCTTCATTCACTTAGCAGGGACTTAATTAAGTACCAACTTTATTCTGAGCTGTGGGACACGTACTGAAATGTCCCTGGGCTTGATGAGATTTGAAAATGTTGGACTGCAAAACATTTCTCTACATATAATTAAAAATCTGATGAATTCGTTTCTTACCAAATCTTTAATGGTCAGTCAGTCTTTATTGAGTGTGATTGTTAGTGATTAAAGTCTGCTCCAGTAACATTTATGGAATAAATTTGACCCTAGTACTGACCAGCCACTTCTACCTTTCAAAAAGTATTTGTAGTATTTTCTAACTATAGAACTCCCTGAAGTAAAGAGAATACATTTGTACAGACCAGAGTCATGTTTAAATGCTGCATAAGTAGTAATGGATGAGATGAGTTAGTACAGCTAAGCTTTTTAACTTAAAATATTCTGTAAAATCCATTTTTTCTTAAAAAGAAATCTGTCTCAGTCCTTGCTAGTCTGCTTGTATTCCTATAGGATGTTGTAAAGGAGTAGCTTTGTTAGCATTCCTAATGGAATATTTGAAACTAGAGGATGCTTGCTTTTCCGTAACTGTACGCAACAGGCCATGTTTGCTGACAGTGGGAAGAGGGACACAGTTTTAGAGCTAACCTTCAGACAGAGCGATTGTGAAGATGCCACAGAATCCAACAGAGTTTTGTTCTGTTGTACATAGGGTTGCTATCAGTCAGACTGACTTGACAGTGCCTGACAACAGCAGTCCTTTGTTGGAAGTCTCAGTGGGCAAATTTGAAATGTTCTCTTGAGTGGCTTAAGTCCAAGTCAGTCACTGTTGCTTGAGGCTGTTTCAGGGATCTACACTACTTTGCACTTTGGCAAACTATTGTTCCCTTCAGTTCTAAAAGAACAGTCATATTTGTGTTTCTGATTGCCACACAATAAATGTGAATCCCCTAGTAAACCCTAACCAGAGAGAAGCCGGTATGGTTAGAGAAATCTGTTCCCTAATGCATGCCCATCCTCTGTGTTAAAATGATTAACTTTGTTCCTCTGTGTGAGTCATAGGAATTGGGAGAAGGAAAATTTCTTTTGACCATTTTTAGTAGCACTAAGTTGTTGTGGTTAGGTGCTGTAGGTTGATTTCCACTCATAGTGAGCCCGTGTGATTGGGGGACTGCCCCATACAGTTTCCTAGACTGGTTTCCTCTTGAGAAGCCACTGGTTGGATTTGAATCACCAACTGTTCAGTTAGTAGCTGAGCACTTAACCATTGTGCCACCCGGTTCCCATGGCAGTCTCTGGCTATGATGAAGGTTTGTTGTTGTCACCTGCCATTGAGTCAGTTCCAACTCATAGTGACCTCATAGTGAGGAGCAGCTGGTGGAGTTGAATTGCCGACTTTATGGTTCCAGTGCTGATCCTACAGCTCCACACCAGGAGTCCTAGATGACGGTAGATGGTGCTGTTTTTTCACAGCAGAAGCTTTTTGAAACCTGTATTCCAGAGCTATATGAGGGTGTACCTGGTGGCCCACAACTCAGTGCCAGCATGGAATGCCAGGGACACAGTGGTAATTACATATGGTGCCTGTCTTCCCAGGTGCCTCAGAAAAAATAGGGTGCTGGTATGGCGCTATAGGATAAGCACTGAACTGCTAACTACAAGGTCGGCAGTTCAAACCTACCAGCTGCTCCTGAGAAACCCTATACAGAGTCTCTATGAGTTGGAACCAGCTTGACAGCACTTACTGACAACAAACATGTCCCATACTTGGCTGACTGAAGTGAGGTATATCAGGCCAGGTGGGTAGTCTATGTGTGTGGAATAAAGATGGCGTTTTGAGAAAGGGTTGGGATATTGAGTTGGGCCTGGAAGATTATTAGGATTTCAGTAAGTAGTAAACAAGGAGAAAGAGTGGTTTTGATGGGACAGTCAACATGTATAGGGAAGTATGGCATGCTTGGTGTACAGATTCAGGGCCGAGGGGCCATGGGGTGGGGAAGGGAGACCAGGCTCCAGAGGTCTCCATTAGTCAGACTAAGCAACCTTTAGACATACAGAGCTTTCAGCCTGTGTTAACAAGGAGAAGTCATAGGACTTTCTTTTAGGAAAATTACCAATAGCAGGAAGGAGGATGGTTGTAGGGAGAGATGAGACTAGAGGTGGGAAGATGGGATAGAAATGTCGTAGTTCAGAAGAGAACTGAAATTTGTCAGTAGTTATGGGGGTGGAGGGTGGGCACTCAAAATCTAAAAATTTGGGTGCCATTCAGAAGCAGGTGGCAGCAGTGGCAGTGGCTGATGACAGTAGAGCACATGACATGTGTCCGACCCATGCTGAGCACTTCTGTCAGCTCTGTCCTGATTCATTTTCACAGCTCTGTAAGTAGGTGTCATCATACTCCAGTGCTACAAATAAGGAAGCAGAAATGAAGAAACTTGCCCAAAGTCACACAGCTCCAAGTCACAAAGCTGAGATTCAAACATGAGCAATCTGACTCCATGGCCAGAAAGACTGTATAGATCCAGCCACCACACTGCACCCCCTGACCCTCAGCCATAAAATGTAGGATAATATCCACAGTGAGAACTGGGGAACTGGAGGGTGAGTGTTGTCAGCAGTCTGCTCTGCCCCAGAATCAAATGCAGAGTTGGTCAAGAGAGCCCTTGCCTCCTTGACTGAGTGGGAGGTCCTTTTGATTCACCTTAGGCAACTCTGCTGCACAAGACCTTTTTAAAGTATTGAAGAGCAAAGATAATCAGCTTGAGGACTAAGGTGCGACTGACCCTAGCCATGGTATCCATGTGAAAGCTGGGCAGTGAATAAGGAAGACTGTACAAGAATTGATGCTTTTGAGTTATTTGATGCTTTTGAGAATATTGAAAGTGCCATAGGCTGCCAAAAGAACCAACAGATCTGTGTTGGAAGAAGTGCAGCCAGAGTGCTCCTTGGAGGACAGGATGGCCAAACTTCGTCTCTCATACTTCGGACATATGGTCAGGAGGGACCAGTCAGGATATCATGTTTGATAAGGTAGAGGGTCAGAGACAAAGAGGAAGACCCTCAGTGAGATGGATTGGCAAAGTGGCAGCGTCAGTGGGCTCAAACGTGGCAACAATTGTGAAGTTGACCCAGGATCAGGCAGTGTTTCCTTTTGTTGTGCTTAGGGTTGCTATGAGTCGGTACCAACTCGATGACACCTAACAACAACAACAAACCAATTCTTCTCGTCTTGTCTTCCAGTCTCAGATGAAGAAATATATACCCCTTCCTTTCCAGGGTTTATCCTCAAGCCTGGAAAATTCTCCATAAATATGGTGGTGGTAGTTGTTAAGTGCCATTGAGTTGATTTCAACTCTCAGTGACCCTTATAGGGTTTCAGAGCAGCAACTGGTGGGTTTGAACCACCGATCTTTCAGTTAGTAATCCAGTGCTTATCCTACAACTCTACAATATTGTTGCTGTTAAGTGCTGTTGAGTCGGTTCTGACCTATAGCAACCCTGTATAGGGTTTCCAAGGAGCAGCTGGTGGGTTTGAACCACTGACCTTGTGGTTAAAACTGATCTTGCGGTTCAGTGCCTTACCCTGCAGGACCACTCCAGGACAGAAATTAGACCTCATTGTCACCCACTCGTGCCATACATGCTACATGACTTTTGTGGGGCCCGGGGTAGGCATTGAGGCTCATAGCCTTGTTTGAAAGTGAGTTTGAATGCGTGTTTAGAGCTGTAGTATATACGCAGGTTCTCCAGAAACGTGTCACTGAATTGCATTGGTAATGCACGTCCTTCATGGATTGCTAGAGTCAGGAGGGACCCAGAGAACACATACTCAGTGAAGGCATATCTCCAGCATGCTTGACTGTTGGTTCTTGACACGACTTGAATCCCTCTAAGGTGTACTTATTGTACAGCAGCTGTCATTGGTAGAACATTCTTCCTTGAGTTGTAACAAAATAGCTCTCCCTATAACTTCTCTTCTTTGAGTCCAGAAAGGTAAGTTCTCATGACAGAATGACAGATGGCCGCAGCTGTCATCCAGAACTCCTCCCTCTGTACAACTTGTTTTGTGCAGGTTAAAATTAAAATGCCTTGGGCCCTCTATTGGGAGCGATGCCAGCAGGTTCAGGTTCTTTGTCATCGATGAGCAGTGCTTGTTCAGTAGGTAGGAGGGATGCCACAGGTAGGAAGTATCCAGCTCCCTTGCGGCCCTTAGTCGCATCCCTATCCCTGTAGGACCTGGTCCTTAAGGAACCATCAGTATGATGCATTGTTGTTGTTAAGTATCATCAAGGTGGTTGCGACTCATGGCTTCCCTGTACAGGATTTCCGAGGAGAGGCTGGTGGGTTTGAACTCCGACCTTGTCATTAGCAGTCCAGTGCTTATCCTACAGTACCACACCAGCGCTCCATACACTTACTAACTATTAAGGAATCTATTTGATTTTGCTTTTAATCTGAGTTCTTTTGTAGGACACTAGCTATCAAACCCTTCTCCCAAAGAGTTCTGAGTGGGGTGGGTTGGCTGATGCAGGCAGCAAGTCTCCCAGGGGGCCTCAGCCTGCACCTGACACCTTTGGAAGGCTTCTGAGAGAGAAGGAAGGGGTTGGTTAGGCTTGTATAAGTAGGAAAAGGCAGGTGAGGAAAGCAAAGTCCTTGGGAAGGTTTCTGAGAGAGAAGGAAGGGGTTGGTTAGGCTTGTATAAGTAGGAAAAGGCAGGTGAGGAAAGCAAAGTCCTTGGGAAGGTTTCTGAGAGAGAAGGAAGGGGTTGGTTAGGCTTGTATAAGTAGGAAAAGGCAGGTGAGGAAAACAAAGTCCATTCCTGGTTTTGTAGTCTTATAATCTTTGTGTTTATATGTGTGTTTTTGGGGGTGATAGCTTAGAAATTTTTTCATTGTTTTTATGTAAGCATAGTTTTCACATAAACATCAGACAGGGCCCCGGTTTTTTGTGATGCTGAACCTACTAGAACTAAGACTCTCCGACATCACAAGCTCGGTCGCTTTGTTTGTTCTTAGACACCTGACCTGGAGCAGCTGGAGCCGCCACTGGAAGATGTGGAAAATATCCAGGACTTTGAGCCCTTGTTTTCAGAGGAAACACCTGAAGTGGAGAAGCCAGTTACCACTGTCCAGGTTGGACTCCTGTTGTCTAGATCAAGCTTTTGGTTCACAGTTGACATGAGTGACCAGACGAGTCAAGGAAAGTTTAAAAAAAAAAAATCCCACTTATAGTTTTTAGAAAAGAGGGCACCACTACATAAAACCGCTGAAATCAGAGGGTTTTTTTAACCAGGATCTGTGAATTGGTGAGAAACAATCTGCCTGACATTTGAACAATGGGCAGTGTTATTACGGTTAATTCTTACCTAGAACTGAATTTCTATCATTAAAGTGGCAGCCAGATAAACATGTCTGAGTCTAAGACCCACCTGGGTAAATGCTCTCTTGGCCAGGGAGGTGATCAAGGGTAACAAGGCAGACACTGGTGGGCAGGAGGGGAGGAGACTTAGATTTCCACCACTCAGCCTCAGTCTGTGAGGTGTCTTTTCATGAACTCTCAGGGACTATTGCATGATGTAGACCACAGTGGTGGTTGTGTGCTGTCCAGTCAGTTCCGACTCATAGCGACCCTATCTAGGGTTTCTGAGGCTGTAAGTCTTTATGGGCGCAGAAAGCCTCATCTGTCTCCCTAGGAGCGACTGGCAGATTTGAACTGCTAACCTTGCAGTTTGCAGCCCAGCTCATATGCACTATGCTACCAGGGCTCCTTGATGCAAATCCTAAATTTTTATAATTCTGAGGCTAAAAGAAGGCAGAAAATTGGATTGTCAAATCAGGAAAGTTGGGGAAGGCTTTTCTGGCCTGAACAAAGGACAAGAGCAATACTGGAATAGGAAATGGGAGTTTGAGGAAACTGGCAACTGGGATGTTTGTCTTTATAGCCTAAAAATATCTTCTAAACTTTGGGTTTTCAAAGCCCATGTTTAATTTGGCAGCATATCATCAGCTGTTTGTTGGAACAGAAAGAATTCGAGCTCCAGAGATTATTTTCCAGCCGTCTCTTATTGGAGAAGAACAGGCTGGGATAGCGGAGATCCTTCAGTACATTCTGGACAGGTGAGACTATAGGCACCTTCTCCTTCTAGTGCCCTGAGCCCTTCCTCTGGATATAGTATTGAAGAGTAGCTTTGGTGTTTGGGCACCCTGGAAATAGGCCTATCTCACTGCTTTTCATTGACATGTTCTGCTCAGATAGTGTTCTTTCATCTTCACCGTAGGCCAGGCACACTGTGCAGCTCTGCCATTCTTTTTTGAACATGCACATGCTCAGCCGCTTTAAGGAACTTTCACAATTTCTTATATATTTAAGTTAGACAATAATATATGTGAATTGACCTTTTTTTTTTTATTAGTTTTTTTTATTATGAACTGGTTGAAGGTTTCCAGACAAGATCACAGTTTTTTTAAGTTCAGCAAATTACACACTTTGTTTCATCTCAATGATTGCAATCCCTTCCCTGCTATAACAGTTATCCTGTTTCCTCCCTGTGGCTCCGCATTTACATCTTACGTTTCACAGGTGAACAAAGCAAAAATCTTTGATGTACACTTACAAAACAAAAATATATATATTCATTTAGATATCCAAAGGGCACATCTACCAGCCAGCCTCCTGCCTGCAGGCACACAGCTGTGTGTCTAAAGCCCATAACTGTTCTGTCTCCCCAGTGCATTGGCTTTTATATAAAAATTTCTTAACTTTTAAATGTAAATGGAGTGAAGGTTTACAGAGCTGATCATCAGTTTCCATTCAGTGAATCATACACTTGGCTACATTGCAGTAATTCGCAATCCCCTCCGAAGACCATCAGTGTTTCACCTCTGTTCACTTTAACTCTTAGATTCTTCCCCATGACGTCCACTGCCTTTGTTTTTCCAGTGCCAACCTCCCTCTTATTGTATATTGCCTGCCCCATCACCCAAGTTAGCATATGTCTACCCTGTAGCCTGTGAAAAGTTTCCCTTCCATCCCACCTTTGGTAACCATCATATAATGTTTCTTTTTTTTGGCTTCAATTCATGGTGATCTTTTTTTTTTTTTTTAA